AAACCCCAGGAATCCTATTCAGTGATGTACTTGTAATGGTCATGAAAGAATTAAATCAACACAGATGTGGATTAATGTGAAAAAGTAGGCAAAACACTAAATTCTCATTGTGTGGTTTCAGTGTTGCAGATCCTTCAAAATACTTTGGTATACCACAATAATTAAAGGGTTTAAGAACGTTAAGATACTTAGAAAATAAAAGCCCACAGTTGAATAACAAGAATGACCTGTTTTATTTTTTAAAATTGAAATTAATGTAGATTGCCATGGTGAAAATAGGTTGAAATATTTAATAATAACTGTTTTGTGCAGCCCTAGAGATCAAAAACAGTAATGTAAATAAGCAGGTCTTTAAAGAATCATACTTACAAATATGTTTAATGTAAGTGATTGCTAGAAGGGAAATGCATTTTTTTCAATGCTATGCAAAGAAATTTTAATGGACTTGATGTTGGCAGTGAGAATCTACAAATTAGCATTAATAACTCAAATTTTAAAATATTTGCTCATTGCTCTAGATTGTGACTGTATTCAAGAAATACTGTTTTCAAACACTAATGAATCATTTTAAATAAACTTTTAAAAACACATTTATGACATCAATAAGTATGACTGTTTATTACATTTTACCTATAAAAAGTTGAACTGTTTTATATACTCTTTATGGAAACAGTGCACAGTCATAAATTAAAAGATGCAACTGTTTTGGATATTTTACTGGTGGTCCTGTGTTTTCCTGCCAGCAGTGCAGCTGTTTCAGGTTTCTCAGGATAACATATAAAAAGTTGTATGTACACTACAAGTTTATGCTTGAATTGCCAAGCCAGAGATGGTATGACTCAACTTTCCCAGAAGCAAGTTATACCAAAATGTGATGAATTAAAACAGCTAGTTGCACAGTGGTTTGTATTCAGTTATGAAAACCAGTTCTCATTTATGATAGTTGGCTTTGTAAGGTTGACACATTCTACTGTGGTACTTGAATTTTGCCATGAGTAAAGAGCCATTGGAGCTAAGACTGTGCTTTTGAGGGTCTGAGGAAAGGGTGATACAACGCTATCTGGGGTGTGGATAAAACTTAGCTGGAAACTTGTGTCAGGAACGGAACATTTTCATTTTCAAGATACCTGTAAAAATATTACTCACTTATTTGTGTGATAGTTACTGAATTCTCAATGAAGAGAAATTGATTTTATGCTGTTCCAGGTTAATTTTTAGACTTTCTGAAGTGATTTAACACTTACCTCATTTCTCATGCATCATAGTCTTAACAGTGGACATTTTATTTTATCCTGGGAGGTAATAAGCAGATACCTTTATGGCCATGTATTAGGTTTGGTGAATCCCTATTTAAATCCTGTGATACCCAAGGTTTTATTAAGAGTTTGACAACAACTGTTTAATAACAGTAGTCTCCAAAGTGAGATGCATCCCACCAGGATATGTAAGATGGGGTGTAGGGAGAAAATATTAGAACTTTTATTTAAACATTTTAGTTTCATCCTTTAAATGTTTCAAATTATATATTATATATATTTTATAATATACTTACTATATTAATATATTATGTGTATATACTATATAATAGTATATAATATATAAATATATAATTTATGAACAAGTATACAAGTTTTCGAGCTGCACGCTCAAATATTTTTACTGCTATAAATATACTATCAAAAAAGTTTGGAGATTGTTGCTCAATAAATATTCATTTCCTTTCTCCTTTCACTTTCCCCTTTCACCCTTGGCAGAGAAGCAAAGAATTAACACCTTGATTTGTGGCAGTGTGAATAAATTATAGCCAATTGCAGGAGCTTATGCTGTGTCTTACTTTGACCACTTTTTCTATTTGGCCTCTTGTATTGCCATATATTTTTTAATCACACAAGCTTATTAAACATGGATACAAATGAAAAACAGACTTGTTATTATGTTAGAAATAATAAGTTGCTCATGCATCAAGACTTTGACACACAGGAAGTCTGAATGAATGAATAGAAAAGTTTCCAAGTTATTAAAATGTTCTGGTACCTGATTTATTCATTTGCTATACCTGTAATTCTGAGGTGGATGAAGCTCCTTTACTTCCTGAGACCTGAAGAAACAATGTGGTTTCTTAAACTAGGCATTAAAGCAAAGCTGGACATACTTGTTTTCTGACAGTGCTGGTAGTCATGCTAAGAAGTTGTCCCTCTTTGGCCAGGATTATCCCATTTTTTAGGGCTGTTTGTTTACCTTTATCAAGGTAGAAAGTTTTAATTGCTAAGTAACATGTGTGTAATTGAAGAATAATAGTGTCTGTTACAGCCTTTTGAGATTGACTCAAAAGACTCTTCTGTATTTACAAATTGGGACATTCTTTTGAACCCAGGCTCAGTTTTGGATGTAATTTTCTAAGGTTTCCATTCCTGTAAGGAGGGAGACAATATATTTTTGTAATATTGAAGTAATTTTGAAGTAACTAGTATGTTCTCTCCCCTTTATCACTTGTTTACGTATTTTCTTCAGAACACATTTATGTAAAATTTTAGTAATACAATAGTATTATGATGTGCATTTATTTATTAAGAGTATGCCAGGAAGGAGAGTGGCAGTTAGGTACCCGAACAAGAGCCAGAAAAATAGATTAGTTCTGAAAATTGGGAATAGGGAACATTTTAAAAACAAGTATTATTTCTGAAACCTCCTTCAGAGCTGTTTTTAGATCTTAATGTAATTCGCTTTATAATTTAGAGTTGTTATGTTTCCTTTTAAAAGGAAATAATGCATTTATAAAGTCTGAACATTTCAGCCTTAGAATTCTTCTTTAACATTTGAATCAGTTTTACTATTGCTTTTTAAAGTGTTACCAATTTATATGTGCTTTCTATATCAATGGTACACTTTTTGTTTTGTTTTAGGTATTTAAACCATGTCAGAGCTGCCTCTCCACAGGACCTTGCTGGAGGCTATACTTCTTCTCTGGCTTGTCACAGAGCACTACAGGATGCATTCAGTGGGCTTTTCTGGCAGCCCAGTTAACCTGTATTTCTCCTCTATAAGATTTGGACCCTGGAGCCGAACCAGGGAGCTAGCAAAAGTAAAGCAGACTTGTAAAATTATAGCCATGTGCAGCTGTACATGGCAGCTGTGTTAAAGTATTTATAGAGAGCAAATTTCAGAACTAAGCTGAGTTAATATAGTGGATAAATATTTGTGAAAAAATTTAGTTTTTACTTATATTTTTCTGAGAGGGATTGAAGCTGTTAAGACTCATCCAATGGAAGCTATGAATAATTCACCTGTGTATGTTTGAGGTTGATAGACTTGTAAAATCTTTTAAAAAATAAAGCTAGACTTTATACTGTTTTGTGGTTTTTCTCTTATTACAGTGTTTTACTTGAGCACACATTAAAAATGCCATTTTGAATACGACACTTAGTGTTAATATCCAAGTCTGTTATTTCTTCTCATAAAATGTTCCATTTTTTCCCCAATGTCTTCTTAATACTAGTCCAGACAAGTGGATATATTTCCTTCCACCAACAGGTTGTGGCAAGTAAAACTTGACCTGTGATAATGTCAGTCTCTCAACATTAAGGACTCAGTGCCTGTTTTGAGCAGTGGAAAGTGAGACGAACCTTGATCAATGTGTTATAGTTCCCAGCTGTGAGCCTCGCTTAGGCTAAACCAGAGTACTAACCTGCTTTCATGACAAATTCAAAGAAGTAAGTTAACAAAATTTAATACTTAAAAGGCACCTTTCACCTCAATGTGAGCTCATTTTATGATGAAACCTTGGAGACTGGAATGAATATATTTTAAATGAAATTTCCCTATGAGTAAATTGCACACTCTGGTACAGTTTCTGTTGAAACTTCAAAGGCTTTTAGTATACCCAGAATGTTGCTTAAAGAGTTTGGATGTGGATAGGATATATATTTGTAGCATCTCAACCTTGTATGAGTCTGTTACCTAGACAACTGGGTATGGGACATCGTTTCTCAAGGAAATTAAAGGATTTTTTATTAAATCTCCATTACAACAGTTGTTAGAGTGGAAAGTTATGTGAAACAAGATTTGTGGGTTATATTAGGGTGGAATATCCATATGCAACAGCTCCATCTTATTTGACTAAGTAGGTATTAATTTCAGGAGTACATCTTCATCTTTATAACACTTCTAACTATCTTTGATAATTGAGAAAACCAAGGCATTGAATAATTGAGTAGGCCAAGATCATATACACAAGTTAGTAAAAGCCAAAATTAGAACAAAAGTTTTTTATCCAAGTCTAATTCTATAACTCTACTAGTCTGCATCCTATTTCTTATATCTATTAGTTTTCCCCAATAGAGGACTAGCATTTTAAGTACAATACATAAATCTGTTCAAAGAATAGTGAGAACGTTGGACTTGTGGTTAGAGATTTTCTGTACTCAGCTGCCAAAGTAAGGTATCCAGTCTTTAAAAAAGAAACACTATTATTTATTCTCAGTACCTTGTATGATGTATTTAAATGGAAGGAACTAATTATTAACAAAACGTTTCAAAGGCTTTCAAAACTTTTTTTTGAGCCTACCTTATTATTGTGGAAATTGCCTGCACCTGATTTGGCAAATCAGTTAAATTCCACCACCTAGATATGTTTGTAATTATTTTGCCCTTACTATGGTCATACTTTGTTCAATAGGCTGGGTTTAGAAGTTAACTGACCCTATTAGATCAAAGGGAATGGTGAAAGATAACCTAATGGCAACAATTCACTAAATAACAATTCACTAAATATTCTACATTGATGAAATTATCCCCAATCCTCCCAGTGATTTCCTCTCTCAGAGACAAAAGGCTGTACAAGTCTTTTCATCTACATGAATTTAATAAGTCTTTTAATATTTTATAACACTAGCACAGAAACAACTACTGAGCATTAACCTATATGCCAAGCACTGTGCTTCATGCTTTATGAATTGTCTAATCCTTCTAACAGGGCTAATATTATTTCCCCATTTTAACAGGTGGAGATGCTAAGGCATGGAGAGGTTCAGCAACCTACCAAAGGTCAATACATCTTAAAAGGAGAAGAGTTTGGATTTGAACCCAAGTGGTTAAACTGCAGAGTCCATGTTCTAGAGATAACTGTCAAACTTATAAACAATAGCTGTGCAAAACCAAATCTGAGTAGTCAAACTTCTTAAGACTTCCAGGAAATTTTACAGATCAAGTATCTAGTTCTTATATGGGATATAAGTGACATCAACTAAATAATGGTGTTGATATCCTTGAGAGAAGTCCTGAGGAATTCATTATGTAGAACATGATTTGACTGCTAACTGCACTCCCTTTTATGCAGACATTAATGGATTGAATACATTTACTTGGTAATTAGGATGCATTATTATTTAGTATTCCTTAATTTCTTTCAATAAATATTTGAGTTAAGCTTCTCTTAGAAGTTACCTTTAGGCTGTCAGCAGGTGGTTTGGAATAATCATTTCAAAATCTAATTAACGTGGCAGAAAACTTGTCAAAAAGTTAACAAAATTAAAAAATTCTACCTAATGAGTGCTCTAGCTGTCATTTTCTAGTGGATTAACCAAGAGTTCAGTTACTAGGTATCACATCAAAAAGTTCAGGATGAGCCAAATTTAAATAATGAAATAATCACATGTTCACTTATCCACTCTGAGGGAAAAAGGAGGAGAGGTTAAAGTGTGTTAATAGAAGCATTTAAAGAATTCTGTTTTTTTTTTTTTTTTTTTTTGGCGGTATGCAGGCCTCTCTCTGTTGTGGCCTCTCCCGTTGCAGAGCACAGGCTCCAGACACACAGGCTCAGCGGTCATGGCTCACGGGCCCAGCCACTCCGCGGCATGTGGGATCTTCCCGGACCGGGGCACGAACCCGTGTCCCCAGCATCGGCAGGCGGACTCTCAACCACTGCGCCACCAGGGAAGCCCCAGGAATTCTGTTTTCTTTACAATTATATACTGCATATTTTTTCTAATTAAGGGGTGACTAAATGGATCTTACCACTTTACATATGAATAAGAACATCATTTGCACCCACACTTAATATTTATAGCCTAGCATATGGATGTATCAATATAGTACTAGGAAAAAAGTTCTTATGCCTACTTGCAAATTAATTATCTTCACCTAGATCGGGAGAAGGCAAACTGTAGACCTCTGGCGAAATCCAGGGGCTTCCTTTTTTTGTATGCTCCATGAGTTAAGGTTGGTGTCTGTATATTTTTAAGGTTGGAAAAAGCCAAAAGAATAATATACTTTTTAACATGTGAAAAGCATATGAAATTAAAATTTCAGTGTTCATAGTTTTTTTTTTTTTTTTTTTTGGAATATGTGTTTATGTATTGTCTATGGCTGCTTTTGGACTACTATGGCAGTTGAGAGGCAGCAGAGACCTTATAGCTTAGAAAGCCTAAAACATTAAATGGCCCTTTACAGAAAGTTTGCTGACCCTTGCCCTACATACACTTGGAGGGGAGGGAGAGGAAGAAAATTGGAAGTCCCAAACTAGCAATCCCTGGCTGAATTAGCCCTCAAGGTTTTGCATAGGATAGGTTGGGTTGAACTCCAAAACCATTTTAAGTGTCTTTCGATAAGGAATAAAAGCTCCAAGTCATTACTTCCCTATACTTCTTACCATTTATTGCCGTCATCTATTTATATTACCTAGCTCTGAAGGCATTTGAGTTTGTAATTAATGACTTAGATTAGGGGTCCTCAAACTTTTTCTGTAGGACCAGAGAGTAAATATTTTAGGCTTTGTGGGCCAAGAGACAAAACTGAGGCCATTATGTAGATACAAGAGATACAATAAATTGGCACAATTTTTTAAATTAACAGACTTCAAAATACAATTGAGTACATTTTTTGTAGGGCTTTTTGGAGAATTACATTTCCTTTGATTGGGGTTCTAAGTGTTCGTATCATCAAAATGAATTTTAATTGATCACATGTTGATGGTTATATGTAATGAGATTTTACACATTTCATCTTTAAGAAAGTCTTTTCAGACAGATACTGCCAAATTCTAGAATATGTGATTTTAACTGAACATATACATCACTTGGAAGGCATTTGTAAAACTATGAGATTCTTAATCCCTTGGTATTTGCCTTTTAGCATGTCATTACAATAACACATTAATCACTTCCAATTGAAGATCACATGGAAGTTCAATTGTAGTTAAATGGATTTTGAAATATGGAAATTTCCTTTGCATTTGCACCAAGGTTCCAAGAATGCTGAACTCAGAAAATATATCCACTGCTAATTTATGAGAATGAAAATCTTGTTTCTTGTTTTAATTTTTGATAGCATGAGAAATGTACAGTTGTAGTCATTTCAGACTACTGCAGTATGTTTCACATTAAAGTTATGTTTGCCTTGTAACTGTAGGTTGATATCTTTGAGAAATATTATCAAGTCTTTAGCAAAAACTAATTTCCAAAGACACTCAGTATTTTAGAAGTGTTTAAGGTTGATTCTTCTTAAGAAAAATTTCAGTCTTGTCCATGACCCCCAAAAATTGCAGTCATACCTTACAATTGCTAAGCAAATAAAACTTAGGTTAAGCTGAAGAAATTCAGCTTCAATTTCTGACAAAATTCAAGGACTCTGAGGATGGTTAAAGTCCATGAAAGCAAATGAAGTTTATCATTGACATTACTGGTTCACTAACACATGACAGATTCAAATATTTGTTGCAATGTACTTGCTGGTGAATAATATAGTGAATAACTATAGGTTTTAAACACGGTGCATTTTCATAAGCTTTGTAAATTTTTCCAACTAGAGCTTTTTCTACCTCACACTTTTCTTTTTAACCATCATCAGTTATAACACATCAGATTCTACTTCAGGTTTTTACAGAATTAGTTTTCTCAGTTTCTTTGAAAGTATTCACCAGTAGTTGTTGCGTGCAGAGTATTCATAGAGGCTAATTCTTCAGTAACTTCAAAGTCAGAATTCATGCCCCAAATAAACAAGAACTGAGCAGTATTAGTAATGTCTATCAACTCATCAAGAGTAAAGAACTACTTGGACTCACTACCTTTTTGACTGCTGACGGTGCTCCAAATGTTCTCAACCCTGAGCAACTGTCCTTGCCAAAAGGCCAACAGTCCTAGACAAGTTTGCTTTCTCCAGACACATTTCTTAGACTGCTGCTTTCAAACACAATTAACTCACCGACAGTAGATGGTTTTCCTTGCTTGGCTTAACAAAAGAGTCACTTGGAGACTTACTTTGGTTGTAGCCTCACTTTCATTTTGTGAAGAAATTCTGCCATGAATTTCCAGTTTAAATACCTAATTTTTCTGACAGTTGCTTGCCTGTGAGTTGGAAATACTGTGATGAGTACTTCTCTGAGAAATGTCAAAGTATATTGTACTTTAGCTCAGGTATGGATGCTTTGTCACCTAATTCAATGTCAAAAAAATTCACACTCTACTGTGCCTTAAAAGCACAGCATGAATGGCCACTTTTCTTATTTTGGAATGAGGGATACATACTGATAATCGTAAAATAAAATGTTATAGCTTGGCAATACACATGGCACTCAAAATGTTGTTGAGTTGTAACTGTGTAACTGTGATTTGTAGTGTGCTGAGCAGCAGTATGAAGTGATGAGAATCATATCCCATCTGTGTTGCAACTACTCAACTCTGCTGTTATACCATGAGGGCAGCCATAGCCAGTATGTAAACAAATGAGTATGGTGTGTTCTAATAAAACTTTATTTATGGACACTGAAATTCAAATTTCATATAATTTTCATGTCACAAAATATTATTCTTTTGATTCTTTTTCAACCATTTAAAAATGTAAGAACCATTCTCGGGTCACTTGCCATACAACAACAGGTGGTGGACCAGATTTGGCCTGCTGGACAGAGTCTGCCTATCTCTGATCTAAATAATCTCATTTGTTAGTACTTTTATAGTAATAGTGTAGGAGTACTTATATAAAACTTAGCTACACTCTTCAACTAAGGATAACTGTAAAATGATTAGTTCTTTCCTAGTTAGCACGCAATTATCCTACCTTCAAAAACTATTTTCCCAAGAGAAAGACAATAATATTTAAATATATTTATCTAATAAAATATTAGATATATTTGATGATAAAATTATAATTATAACATAAAAATTATTTAGTAGACTTATTTAAATTTTAATTTGATAATCCCCAATTTATAAGACAGCTAGGGCAAAATATAAGGGTTCAATACTAAAGTAACTGAATGCTAAAATATAGAAATCATACAAATGATATTTCACTACATAAAGGTCTAGTGGGGAGCTGGAGAAAATATTTCCAATTAAGTGACTGAAGCAATTTGTGTTTTTTCTTCCTAAGAGTCTTTATCCGTCCTCTGGCGTTTAATAGGTGGATCTTCATGATTGTCTGTAACAAATCCAGAAAACCTATATTAGGTAAGCTACTTAACATTTGAAAATACTTTTAAAAAGCAAATAATACAGGCATTTTAAAGATTTTTAATCTAATTAACTTACACATGAAATAGTAACATTCCTGTGGATTTATTATTTTAGTGAAGTAGACTTCTAGACTGAACAGTAAATCATACTAAAATTTGTAAAATTGTGAGAAAGTAGTCACAATTGAATGGCAAGGGGTCTTGAACTGAAATACCTAACTAGAATGAGTTTAACCTATTTCCAAGTTTAAAAAATAATATAAAATATATATGTAGCCCCAGAAAGTTATATGAAAAGTATTACAGCTTACATTTAATTTCCCAGAAATTGCTCACCTCCATTTAGGGTCTGGTTCTTGTAAAGTATAGCAGCAGGAATCCGAAAAGTGATGCATAACATTTCCTTGTTAGGGGCCACATTTCTTACTAGGTGAACTGAACTGCATGCCTCCAAGGAGATGCCTAACACAGTTCCAGCTCGTTGCTGAACATCCTTAGCAGGATTAGCATCTTTGGAAAAGCTGTAACAGTGCACAATGGGAAAAAGCTCACTGCCGCATGGCTGTCCATCTAAGAGTGATTTGAAAGCACTGAGAAACTCAATAGCCTTTGCTGGCAAGTTCATGACAATGTGCACAGAGTGTTTTCTTTCTTTTGACAGTGGTCCCAGCTGCTGCATTAATTCTTCTCTGACTGGTCCTTGGAGGAAGTCTTTCCCATCCAAGTTAAAGACTTTCACCTTTTGGTCCACTTTATTTAATTTACAATTGTGTAGTAACCATTTATGGGATTCAGGATTGAGATCATTAGCAAATACAGTGCAGTTTTTCTTTGCTGCTGGAATGGCAAAGGGCCCAACCCCAGCAAAAACATCAAATAGGACATCCCCAGGTTTGAGAAGTTCTGTGATACGGCTGTGTTCTGTGGAGAGACGAGGATTCCAATAGACTTTTGAAAAATCAAATTCATAAGTGTAGTTGTTCTCTCGAACCTGAAAAAGGTATTATGCTTTTGGTTAAACTGCTTAGTCTTAAGTTCTAGTCACTGATATTGGATGGATGCACTCACAGACATACACACATTTAAATTTAGTATTATTAAGAGCAAAAAAAGCAGTGCATTTAAAGGCATTTTAATTAGAATTCTGGTGTTTATGCTATACTTGAGGCCACTTAATATCTTGCATTAGAAGTTTTCATGAGAAAAGTTCTCTCTTCAAAGCCAAGTGGTTCTCCATCTCATCCTAAAGGGCTATAAAGTGGTTCTCCAATCACACTAGGAATTTTTCAGATAGGCCAATTGACTGGCTTAATTATACTCTCTCCTGTCACCTGACAGAAAAAAAACCCTATACTTTGAAACAACACACTACACATATCTTCATGGTGGGTAGCTAAGTTGCAGACAGCACTTCCACACAGCAAGCAAGCTTCCCTCCTTAGTTTTCAGTTTGTCAGGGGGAGTCATGATAGATGTGTCATGTGTCATTGAATTTGGAGGTATTTTGCTGTGTTTTCAGACAGTTACTTGGACTTTGCAGGTTTCATGTCTATAAATAGAGCCAGTGTATAGAACAAATTATTCCCCTACTTTCTCCTTTCCCAAATCTGAGTTTTCATGGATAAACTAAATACATACAGTGAAGCAAAGTCTTGAACAAAATTAAGACTTTGCAGCATTTCTTTGGGGATTATCATAAACATGATAGAAAATAGAAAACAAAACTATAGTTGTAGAATGTGACCTCACCCATCATCTTAAGCCCCTTATTTTAATAGATGAAGAATCAAAGGCCAGAAAGTTCTTAAGTTCTATAAATATGATAGAGATATCTTCTGTATTCTCTCTTCATGGACCTTAATTCCAAATTTGTACATATTTTTTTCTTCCTGACCACATCAGATGCTCTGGCCATATTATTAAGGTTCCAGTATTGGAAATGTTTCTTTATGATTCTGCCAACTAAAAGTCTTTCTAGGTATATAACTTGGAACGCTTAAATATGTCTTGGGATGCTTTTTCCGAAATCTCCTTTCTACTCCCCTTTTAAGCTCTTTAGTGTGAATCACAGTTCTAGCTTAAAAAATTAGATTCTAAGTATCCCTCTGGTTTTATCATGCTGTCTTTGATATCTCGCTCCCTTAGTTAAGCATGACTTTCAGCAGATTCACTTTAGGAATCTTTTTACCTCACAATATACACACATACTACTTAAATGTTGCATGAGCTCCTAAAGTTAAACTTAAATGTGATTCTGTTTGGAGCAAAGAAATACTGAGTTTTTACGTTTATTTGACAGTATAAATATTAGGTATAAAGTATGTCCTTAAGAACAAGCTTTAGTTGACTTAGGAAATCAATCACAAGGCATTTATAAAATTACGGAAGTTTCTCAGAACTTTTAGATGTTCTTTCTGAGAAGAATGATACTATCTGTTACCCTAAGGGTCAGTACCAAGAAAAGAACATGCACAATGTTCAATCAGGGTATGCCTAAAGTTTAGTAGGTCTTCATGTCGGCTGAGGTAAGCACTGTTATTACCAAAGGATTCATATTCAAATCTTGCTTGCCATAACAGACCTCATACATTACACACAAGTAGTAGGCAGTGGAGGTTTGGTATACAAGGAAAGACCATGCAGGGACTCGAGTCAGAAGGCTTGCTCGAAACACTCAGTCATTCCTAGTTATTTCATCTGCATAAAGAGAATATGAATAACAACAACCATTATCTTGTGGGTCTCTTAGGATTTGTTATATTTAAAGCATTTAGCTCAGGACCTAAAATAAGTGTGTAGTAAATGGTATTTTAATATCCTGACACTATTAAATTCTGGAGAAATATTGGCCCAGAATCTTAAAATTATTTTGCATAAGTTCTCTCCTGAGTTTTATAAAGTCCTGTTTGAAAGATATGACTAACACTTTAAGAATGGCTTTTGTTATTAAAATTATGGAGAGAGTTTAACCTATTTCTTAGCTTGGGTACAAAATTTCACATAATGTTAACATGTAATTATCTAAGGGGCTAAAAAAGGTTTATTATATCCAACACTCCAGAGGATTTGGGGGGTGGAAAATAAGAAAGTGGTTTATACCAGGAATCTGTTCCTACATATTTTAAATTATTTTTTCTTTGAAATAGATTTGTTTTGTTTTTCTTATAAAAGAAATATGTGTTCAGTAGAAAAGTATACAGACGATAACAAAGGTCACCAGTAACTATACCAAATAAAAATATGCTCACTGTTAATGTTCTGGTGTATATGCATATTTACATACTTAAAATTATCATAGTTAAAATGTAACTATGTTATATATACTATTCTACAACTTATTTTTTGTCACTTAACGTGTCAGTGGACAATTTATTTTACGTATGGAGCTAAATATAAATAATCTTTAATGATGGAGTATTCCATTGTATTGTTATACCAAAATGTAATCAATTATCTACTGATGACATTTAGGTTGTTTCCATTTCTTTGTTTGTTTTATTTATTATTATAAAAATGATGCAGGGACTTCCCTGGCGGTCCAGTGGTTAACACTCCGTGCTTCCACTACAGGGGGTGGGGGTTTGATCCCTGGTCGGGGAACTAAGATCCCACATGCCACGCGGCGCAACCAAAAAAGGAAAAAAAAAAAAAGATGCAGAACCTAGTACGTACATCATTACAGTTTTGTCCAATTATATCCTTGAGATAACTTCCTATAAATGGAATGCTAGGTCAAAGGATGTATCTATTCAAAACTGCAATATATTACCATATACTCTTCCAGACTGTATCAAATTTGCACTCCCATCAATAGTATATGTAAATGCTCACATTCTCACATATTCATCAATACTGGGTATTTATTATATATTCTTAATCTTTGTTATCTATTCTGATTTCAAACATTAATCTTGATATACACTATATTAGGAGACAATAAAATACTCCATACCTTGGTCATCATATTCTCCTCTCCAGATAGCACTTCCATTTGGAAATTTCGGTAGGTATTATCAATGTTATTAATTTTATTTACCACTGAGGTGATTCCTGGATTTTTGTCAATCATAACTTGGCCTAAAAGCAGAGAATTCATAATAAATATTGCCTTTTGGTTGCAAAATAAAAGCTAAAGCTGCAAGTATGAAATTGATGTGAACTATATTTTCTTTTGGTTTATAGACAAAACCTGCATCTAGTATGTGTAAAGAGGCATGCAATTCTAAAAATTCAACAGATTACTAAAGTTAATGTCTGACAGCCGCCAATGCAAACACACACAAAAAATGTGTGGGTACATTTATAAAAAAAAAATTTTTGAGGAGTTTTGTTCTACCTAATATTTTTCTGTGTCTTTTACTTAGTCTTCTCAAATGTATCAATACAGCAGTAAGCAAACAGGTAGACCATAGGGAACTGGTTAAAAAACAGAAGGAAGAGATGTAAGGACTTTGGGAACAAATGGTCCCAGAAAACACCAGCCTGTCCTCATTGGCCTCAAACCAAATGTTTGCTTGATTGTGTATTTGAAACAGATACTTCCACTTTGGAAACACATACCAGCAAAATAATGTTTTCAAATAAAAGAAACATAGATTCTTTAGAGTTTTATCTAAATAAAATGTCCATTTACTTAAATTGTTCTTTATGTCAAATATTTGCCAGAGCAGAAAAAGCTACAAGGATAAAGTACACCAGCAATGGTATACTGATGCCCTATAATCAAAGTGTACATTTTTGTCAGCACTTTAAAAATTTATAAGAATCTATACACTGATTGGTTCAAGATGGCAGAATAGAAGGACGTGCTCTCACTCCCTCTTGTGAGAACACCGGAATCACAAATAACTGCTGAACAATCATCGACAGAAAGACACTAGAACTCACCAAAAATGATACCCCACATCCAAAGACAAAGGAGAAGCCACAACGAGATGGTAGCAGGGGTGCAATCACAATAAAATCAAATGCCATAACTCCTGGGTGGGTGACTCACAAACTAGAGAACACTTATACCACAGAAGTCCAACCACTGGAGTGAAGGTTCTGAGCCCCACGGCAGGCTTCCGCACCTGGGCGTCTGGCAACAGGAGGAGGAATTCCTAGAGAATCAGACTTTGAAGGCTAGTGGGATTTCATTGCAGGACTTCGACAGGACTGGGAGAAAGAGAGACTCCACTCTTGGAGGGCACACACAAAGCAGTGTGTGCATCGGGACCCAGGGGAAGGAGCAGTGACCCCATAGGAGACTGAACCAGACCTACCAACTAGTGTTGGAGGGTCTCCTGCAGAGGCAGGGGGGAGGGCTGTGGCTCACAGTGGGGACAAGGACACTGGCAGCAGAAGTTCTCGGAAGTACTCCTTGGCATGAGCCCTCCCAAAGTATGCCATTAGCCCCACCAAAGAGCCCAGGTAGGCTCCAGTGTTGGGTCACCTCAGGCCACACAACCAACAGGGAGGGAAACCAGCCCCACCCATCAGCAGTCAAGTGGATTAAAGTTTTACTGAGCTCTGCCCACCAGAGCAACAGCCAGCTCTACCCACGACAAGTCCCGCCCATCAGGAAACTTGCACAAGCCTCTTATATAGCCTCATCCACCAGAGGACAGACAACAGAAGCAAGAAGAACTACAATCCTGCAGCCTGTGGAACAAAAACCACATTCACAGAAACATAGACAAGATAAAAAGGCAGAGGGCTATGTACCAGATGAAGGAACAAGATAAGACCCCAAAAAAACCACCAAATGAAGTGGAGATAGGCAACCTTCCAGAAAAAGAATTCAGAATAATGATAGTGAAGATGATCCAGGACCTCGGAAAAAGAATGGAGGCAAAGATCGAAAAGAAGCAAGACATGTTTAACAAAGACCTAGATGAATTAAAGAACAAACAAACAGAGATAAACAATACAATAACTGAAACGAAAACTACACTAGAAGGAATCAATAGCAGAATAAATGAGGCACAAGAATGGATAAGTCACCTGGAAGACAGAATGGTGGAATTCACTGCTGTGGAATAGAATAAAGAAAAAAGAATGAAAAGAAATGAAGACAGCCTAAGAGACCTCTGGGACAACATTAAACGCAACAACATTTGCATTATAGGGGTCCCAGAAGGAGAAGAGAGAGAGAAAGGCCCTGAGAAAATATTTGAAGAGATTATAGTTGAAAACTTCCCTAACATGGGAAAGGAAATAGCCACCCAAGTCCAGGAAGTGCAGAGAGTCCCATACAGGATAAACTCAAGGAGAAACACGCCGAGACACATAGTAATCAAATTGGCAAAAATTAAAGACAAAAATTATTGAGAGCAGCAAGGGAAAAATGACAAATAACATACAAGGGAACTCCCATAAGGTTAACAGCTGATTTCTCAGCAGAAACTCTACAAGCCAGAAGGGAGTGGCATGATATACTTAAAGTGACGAAAGGGAAGAACCTACAACCAAGATTACTCAACCCGGCAAGGATCTCATTCAGATTCGATGGAGAAATCAAAAGCTTTACAGACAAGCAAAAGCTAAGAGAATTCAGCACCACCAGACCAGCTCTACAACAAATGCTAAAGGAACTTCTCTAAGTGGGAAACACAAGAGAAGAAAAGGACCTGCAAAAACCCAAAACAATTAAGAAAATGGTCATAGGAACATACATATCGATAATTACCTTAAAGCTGAATGGATTAAATGCTCCAAACAAAACACACAGGCTTGCTAAATGGATACAAAAAAAAGGCTCATATATATGCTATCTAAAAGAGACCCACTTCAGACCTAGGGAAACATACAGACTGAAAGTGAAAGGATGGAAAAAGATATTCCATGCAAATGGAAATCAAAAGAAAGCTGGAGTAGCAATACTCATATCACATATAATAGACTTTAAAATAAAGAATGTTACAAGAGACAAGGAAGGACTCTACATAATGATCAAGGGATCAATCCAAGAAGAAAATATAATAATTATAAATATATATGCACCCAACATAGGAGCACCTCAATACATAAGGCAACTGCTAACAGTTATAAAACAGGAAATCGACAGTAACAAAACAATAGTGGGAGACTTTAACACCTCACCTACACCAATGGACAGATCTTCCAAACAGAAAATTAATAAGGAAACATAAGCTTTAATGACACAATAGACCACATAGATTTAATCGATATTTATAGGACATTCCATCCAAAAACAGCACATTACACTTTCTTCTCAAGTGCACACGGAACATTCTCCAGGATAGATCACATCTTGGTTCACAAATGAAGCCTTAGTAAATTTAAGAAAATTTAAATCATATCAAGTATCTTTTCTGACCACAACGCTATGAGATTAGAAATGAATTACAGGGAAAAAACGTAAAAAACACAAACACATGGAGGCTAAACAATACGTTACGAAATAACCAAGAGATCACTGAAGAAATCAAAGAGGAAATAAAAAAATAACTAGAGACAAATGACAATGAAAACACGATGATCCAAAACATATGGGATGCAGCAAAAGCAGTTCTAAGAGGGAACTTTATAGCTATACAAGCCTACTTCAAGAAATTAGAAAAATCTCAAATAAACAATCTAACCTTACACCTAAAGGAACTAGAGAAAGAACAAACAAAACCCAAAGTTAGCAGAAGGAAAGAAATAATAAAGATCAGAGTAGAAATAAATGAAATAGAAACAAAGAAAACAATGGCAAAGATGAATAAAACTAAAAGCTGATCCTTTGAGAAGATAAACAAAATTGATAAACCATTAGCCAGACTCATCAAGAAAAAGAGGGAGAGGACTCAAATCAGTAAAATTAGAAATGAAAAAGGAGAAGTTACAACAGACACTGTAGAAATACAAAGCATCCTAAGAGACTACTACAAGCAACTCTAGCCAATAAAATGGACAACCTCAAAGAAATGGACAAATTCTTAGAAAGGTATAACCTTCCAAGACTGAACCAGGAAGAATTAGAAAATATGAACAGACCAATCACAAGTAATGAAATTGAAACTGTGATTAAAAATCTTCCAACAAACAAAAGTCCAGGACCAGATGGCTTCGCAGGTGAATTCTATCAAACATTTAGAGAACAGCTAACACCCATCCTTCTCAAACTCTTCCAAAAAATTACAGAGGAAGGAACACTCCCAAACTCATTCTATGAGGCCACCACCACCCTGATAATAAAACCAGACAAAGATACTACAAAAAAAGAAAATTACAGACCAACATCACTGATGAATATAGATGCAAAAATCCTCAACAAAATACGAGCAAACAGAATCCAACAACACATTAAAAGGATCATACACCACAATCAAGTGGGATTTATCCCAGGGATGCAAGGATTCTTCAATATACGCAAATCAATCAGTGTGATACACTACATTAACAAATTGAAGAATAAAAACCATATGATCATCTCAATAGATGCAGGAAAACCTTTTGACAAAATTCAACACCCATTTATGATAAACTCTTCAGAAAGTGGGCATATAGGGAACCTACCTCAACATAATAAAGGCCATATATGACAAACCCACAGCAAACGTCATTCTCAACGGTGAAAAACTGACAGCATTTCCTCTGAGATCAGGAACAAGACAAGGATGTCCACTCTCACCACTATTATTCAACATAGTTTTGGAAGTCCTAGCCACAGCAATCAGAGGAGAAAAAGAAATAAAAGGAATACAAATTGGAAAAGAAGAAGTAAAACTGTCATTGTTTGCAGATGACATGATACTATACACAGAGAATCCTAAAGATGCCACCAGAAAACTACTAGAGCTAATCAATGAATTTGGTAAAGTTGCAGGATACAAAATTAATGCACAGAAATCTCTTGCATTCCTATATACTAATGATGAAAAATCTGAAAGAGAAATTAAGAAAACACTCCCATTTACCACTGCAACAAAAATAATAAAATACTTGGGAATAAACCTACCTAGGGAGACAAAAGACCTGTATGTAGAAAACTATAAGACACTGATGAAAGAAATTAAAGATGATACCAACAGATGGAGAGATATACCATGTTCTTGGATTGGAAGAATCAATATTGTGAAAATGACTATACTACCCAAAGCAATCTACAGGTTCAATGCAATCCCTATCAAATTACCAATGGCATTTTTTACAGAACTAGAACAAAAAATCTTAAAATTTGTATGGAGACAGAAAAGACCCCAAATAGCCAAAGCAGTCTTGAGGGAAAAAAGAGGAGCTGGAGGAATCAGACTCCCTGACTTCAGACTATACTACAAAGCTACAGTAATCAAGACAATATGGTACTGGCACAAAAACAGAAATATAGATCAATGGAACAAGATAGAAAGCCCAGAGATAAACCCGTGCACCGATGGTCGACTAATCTATGACAAGAGAGGCAAGGATATACAATGGAGAAAAGACAGTCTCTTCAATAAGTGGTGCTGGGAAAACTGGACAGCTACATGTAGAAGATTGAAATTAGAACACTCCCTAACACCATACACAAAAATAAACTCAAAATGGATTAGAGACCTAAATGTAAGACTGGACACTATAAAACTCTTAGAGGAAAACATAGGAAGAACACTCTTTGACATAAATCACAGCAAGATCTTTTTTGATCCATCTCTTAGAGTAATGGAAATAAAAACAGAAATAAACAAATGGGACCTAATGAAAGTTAAAAGCTTTTGCACAGCAAAGGAAACCATAAGCGAGACGAAAAGACAACCCTCAGAACGGGAGAAAATATTTGCAAACGAATCAACAGACAAAGGATTAATCTCCAAAATATATAAACAGCTCATGCAGCTCAATATTAAAAAAACAAACAACCCAATCCAAAAATGGGCAGAAGACCTAAATAGACATTTCTCCAAAGAAGACATACAGACGGCCAAGAAGCACATGAATAGCTGCTCAACATCACTAATTATTAGAGAAATGCAAATCAAAAGTACAATGAGGTTATCACCTCACACCAGTTAGAATGGGCATCATCAGAAAATCTACAAACAACAAATGCTGCAGAGGATGTGGAGAAAAGGGAACCCTCTTGCACTGTTGGTGGGAATGTAAATTGATACAGCCACTATGGAGAACAGTATGGAGGTTCCTTATAAAACTGAAAATAGAATTACCATATGACCCAGCAATCCCACTACTGGGCATATACCCAGAGAAAACCACAATTCAAAAAGACACATGCACCCCAATGTTCATTGCAGCACTATTTACAGTAGCCAGGTCATGGAAGCAACCTATATGCCCATCGACAGACAAATGGATAAAGAAGGTGTGGTACATATATACAATGGAATATTACTCAGTCATAAAAAAGAACAAAATTGGGTCATTGTAGAGACGTCGACGGACCTAGAGACTGTCATACATAGTGAAGTAAGTCAGAAAAAGAAAAACAAATATCGTATATTAATGCATATATGTGGAACCTAGAAAAATGGTACAGATGAACCGTTTTGCAGGGCAGAAAGTGAGACACAGATGTAGAGAACAAACGTATGGACACCAAGGGGGGAAAGCGGCAGGGGGTGGTGGTGGTGGTGGTATCAATTGGGAGATTGGGATTGACATGTATACACTGATGTGTATAAAATGGATGACTAAGAACCTGCTATATAAAAAAATAAAATTAAATTAAAAAAAAAGAATCTGTACACTATCTCATTGTATAAGGAAAGATAACTTGATCTGTAAGTTAGTATAAAGTACTCCATAATACAAATATGCTTAAATACAACCAGAATTTGTCCAATTTCTCTCTGATAGTTAAATACCTGATTTTGAATATGATAATGTCAATAAACTCTTGTCAATAGTTGTTCTTATCTTGTTCTGCTTCAGGTATCAGAACTCAATTTTTAAGGTACAGAAGTTAGTTTGAAATGAATGAAATAAAAAAAAATTCTGAAGGTCTATAGTAATAGCTTTAGAATTACCACTGTATGAAAATATTTCATTTTTAATCTATGAGTGCCCCTTTTTGAAAGAGAGTTTATAAAATAAGAGTGCTAAAAGGAATGTTGAGTTAGGATAGGCAATGACTCATAGGAAAGCCTATACTTGACATTTGCACCTGGTCATAATTATAAGGATCTGCTTAAGTATTTATTATGTTATCACTATGCATTATCAGCTCCTTTCATCAATAAAAACAAAGGAAATGCATAATAGCATAGCTCTGAAATCCTACCCATGCAAAACACTGAGCACTACATTTTAAAGCTGAAAATCATTCTCAGAAGTTCCGACAATTACTCTACATTAAAAAAAATTAATCTGGAGAATGCATGGACATTAAATATTTATATAAGAACAAGTGCAATTTTGATTAGTCTTCTAGTTCTTTCTTATCCCAAAGCATAAAAGACCCACGCTTCAACTTTGGGCTACAGAGGTAAGAGATACACAGCAGTGTTTCTAAAAGGCTAGGAACACTAAAAAAGTATGGTGCCTGACATACAGAAGAGGCTCAGTTAACTGAATCAATGAAAGCATGACTAAACAGTGTCTTGCCCTTCTGCCTATGAAACACTCATGAAACCTAGCATTCAACATAGTCCTGAAGGACTAACAAGTCCTGTATACCAAAATAATAAACTGCCAAAGAGTTCTACAGAAGCAAGTGATTCAAGTTTATGCTTACGTATTGTATACACAAAAGCTTGAATTGATATTTAGAGATTGCTATGACTCTGGGAAGAGTATTCCAATATGGCCCCCAAAAGAAAGAATATGTACCTTAAGATCCAGCTTAAAATTAAAATGATAAAATGTCCTGATTCTGTAATTTGGCATTAAAAAAAATTTTTTTAACAAAAATTAGAACTTGCTAATTGCTTTCTAATATGTGAAGATTACTAAGACACACCTACCAATTAAATGCTTGTAAGGCAGTTGATGATCTCGAAGGTTCAGGTGGGCAATATGTCCAACTCTGCTAAACCCTGAAGTCACATCTTGACCTTCAGGAAGCACAGCTTTCAAGATTTCTTCTGACTTAAAGTTTTCATAAGTTAGTTCCAAGTTATATTTAGATATCTGTGGACTGACATTCAGCTGCTTTAAAATACTGAGTTCTCCCTTCTCAAAGGAATCATCAGTAAACATTTTATAGGGATCCAACATAATTAGTCTACTTTCTTCATCTTCTGGATCTTCAATCACACGTTTTATGCCTGGGCGCTGCAGTGCTGCCCTTTTAAGGGATCGCATCAATTTATTGACTATTTCTTTCCTCACTTTAAGCACCGGGATGATGATTGTCTTTTTAAAAGCTGTTCTATCAAGTTCTGTCATTCCTCGAACTTCAGAGGGGGGTGAAAACAATTCAGAGTCCCTCTGATTCGTTTCTATTTCAGGCATGGTTGAGAATATTTTTCTTTGAGCCAACAAGAAAATACCAGGTGTTCTGCTAAGCTTCTGTATCAGTGATGCCCAAGCTAGTGGACTCAATGATTCTGCTTCAGTTATTCTACAGCTTTCCACTTTGAGAATTCTTCTTGAGAATCCAAATGGCCTCCATAAGATCCTAAAAAAAGTATTAATTAAAAGAAATACCATAAAGTTACAAACTAACTTAGCATGTTCACAATAGGTCTTGAGGATAAAAATTTAAATTCACTACTGTTTTAAATAGCCTGCTAAATGCTGATAATTAAAACTTTTAGTGGTATGTGAGAAGTATACTATCTTTTCTAGGACAGGATGACTGGAAGATTTGAACCTTCAATCCACCTGCTGCCAGGACTAGGGCTTAGTGATCCATCACCCTCCCTATAGTCAATAAACCTCCCCACCCACAATTTTCTACAGAATATGTTTGGAATTAGAAGGCTGAAGTTTAAGTTAAAGCATCATCTCTAAACGAAGTGGTCACTATATTTACGATTTTCCCAATGTCAATTTTTAAAAGGATATTCTTATGGATGCTTAATGGGTCAGATGTTGTACTAAATGCTTTATGCACATTGTCAATCTTGGGAGGTGTGTGGTATCACATTCTCATCTTGTATACGAGTAAACTAAAGCTCAGAAGTAGGTAAATTGACCCGAAGTCTCGTTGCTGGTAAGTGGCTGAGCGAGGATTAAAATCCAGCGCCTGCGCTCTTAATCTATCTCAATGTCTTCGATGTTTTACTGCCACAAGTCCTGCCTATAACTAGAGGTTTCAGTATTTTGAGGACGAGAACTTTGCTAAGTGTTATATGCACATCCCAGTAGCAGTTCAGTATTTTGAGGACGAGAACTTTCCTAAGTGTTATATGCACATCCCAGTAGCAGTATCAGTTATTAATTTTGCCTTCTGGAATACCGAAGAAGTAATTGTCAGAAGAAAGGGCCCTGCCCGGGAACCCTGTAAAGCAATTGTCAAAGTTCACAGTCAGGGTTCAAACTGGGTCTAGAAGTTAACCAGATGTGTGATCTTGGGTAAATTACTTATTGTGAGTCTCGTCTTTCCACATGTAAAATGTGGCTAAAGGCTCTATCGGAAAGGTTTTGAAAAGATGAAACACTCCTCACTCCGCCGTACTCAGACCTAGGCTCCACACCAGATGGTGGGTGACCTCGTGACGTTTCCGCGCCCAGAGAGCGCGAGGCGGAGAGCAGCCCCGAGCGGACCCGTACCGCCACCATACCCTCAGCCTCTTCGAACTATCAAGGGCACCGCGGCCGCCATCTCACCAACGTCACCATCTCATTTCTCTGCGTCGCCCAGCAGCTGGCTCCAAGACCAGACCCTCACCTCATGCTCTGGTGCAGCTCGGAAATGGGTCGCCGGCGAGTGGGCGGGCCCTCGATGACACCATCAATGTTCGCCGCCGAGGGGCGAGCGTCATCAGATCACGTCGATTCCTCCTTTCTTCCCGGCCCTGGTGAGGTACGGGAACCCGGAAGGGCTGGGACCATAGCTCCGCCTTTGGCGCGACTACCCGACGGGAGGGCTGGGGTAGTAGCTTGTAGATGGACTGGGTAGTCGGCCAGTGAGCAGCATGGAGGCGCCCTGGGGGATCGTGGACGCTGAGCCCGGCTGGTTTGTCTCTGCCAGGCAGCCTGAAGAGGCGGAGGCGGAAGAGTTGAGCCCGTTGCTTAGCAACGTAAGTTCGCTCCACACGCTTCCCGGCACTTCTCTGAAGTGCCTGCCAAATAAAACCCGGAGAAGAAAGGGGATGGCAAGGGGAGAGGGGAGAAGCTGAGGGCTTGGGGCCCAAAGGCAGCAGCCGAGATTCCGAGGAGATCTGGCGGAGTTCATGAATGTGATAGGAGCCTAAGGTGTCCTGGAAAGAGAAGCTGAAGTAAAGGTGCAGGCTCAGGTGGAAGAGGTGCAGCAGCGGGTGGAGGCTGGGGACCCCACAGAGGAGCAGCCCCGCGGTTATGTAACTCACTGCTGTTTGTTAGTATCTTTGTCGGCTTCTCGTTTCCTCCACTAGTCTTGTGAGCTTTTTGCAAGAGTCACAAGATTTTTCTTTTCTCGGCTTAGTCATTGGGGACCTGTAAACATCTTAATACAAAGATCCTTAACCGTGAAGGAGCGGAGGTGGCCTGGTAATAAGTATGTAGCACTTCCCTGGCCCTAAAGCCTGTGCAGTGGGCACTTCGGCTCTTTAACTCAAGTCCCAGGGCAATAACAGTTTCTAGGACTTTGTTCCCGAATGCTCTTTTAGGGGAGAGTGTTTTCTGGGGTGTATCCTCGCCAGAGCAATGTGAATTGCTTCTATTTATTATATCGTCATTGCATGGCATTCCTGACCATCCTTCCAGTTGGGCAGACTTAATTCATTGAGTGTATAAATAGAGATTAGTTTTGCAGTCCTACTAATTGGGGAGCAACAGTTGTCTGCAGCAGCTCCAAGCTGACTCAGGGATTCAGTAATCATGTGAGCTTGAGGCCATCTGCCTGCTCTCTGTCCCCACCCCGTCTTACCCTATCTTCATCTTTTGCAGTCACAAGGTTGGTTAGTCATGGCTCTTCCTGAAGCCTACCGGGTCTCTGTGCAGGTGGCAATGATTTTCCCAGGAAACTAGGTTCCTGGAGCTGCACTAGTGAGCGGTGAGAAGGGAAGGAAAGGAAACCAGTGCTGGTTGAGCAGCTAGTATGTTACATGATGCCTGTGGTTTGTAAGAGACTTTCTCCATAACGTGTCAGTCATTTCTGAAGGAAATTTGAACTTCACCATTCAAACACTTTATTAAATTTGTGTGCTTACAGGAACTTCACAGACAGGGATCCCCAGGTGTTTCATTTGGTTTCTCAGTGTTTAATTTGATGAATGCCATCATAGGAAGTGGTATCCTTGGCTTAGCTTATGTTATGGCTCATACTGGTATCCTTGGATTTAGGTGAGTTTCTTTCTTATTTTACTTATTTTTTTTTCCATTTTTATAGTACACTGAGAAGCAAAGAGGTAGGCAGCAGAAGCTGGTATTATACAATTTCTAGTTATTTCTGGGGTTTTAGCATTTTCCTCTTACTCTTGTATTGTTGCTAGCCTGTAGCTTGGAGGGATGCTACATAATTTGTATTTTTCATCCAAAGTGTGGCTAATTTAAAAAAATGGAAACTTGATCCACACTTGTTTATAACCTTAAGAAGTGGCTTGTTTGTTGTGTCAAGTTGGCCAAAGTAAATCAAAGTTTATCAGCCATGCAGATTACTTATAAAGAGCGATTTTGTGAGTGTAAATAAAGCACATGATTCTTTCATTTCTCTCCATCTCCTTCTCTCTTCCTACTTAAGTAGTCTTGTTTCACTTTCTGAGGCTAGACATGTATTCTGTGCTCATTCCTTCTCATCTTTTGAGACTCAGCTCATATGCCAGTTTGCCCAAGATAGAAGACATTCCTGTCTTTTCTGTGCTTCCATAGTACTTTGTATATTTATTCTTTTGTTATAATATAATGATTTGTTTGCAAGTGAGTTTCCCCACTAAACCCTGAAATCCTTTAGGACTAGACCTTATCCTTAGCATCTAGCACCATGCTTAATAGAATGAATGAACAAGTTTGTTTTGTCAGTAGAAGCAGACCTATTTTTCTAGGAAATTTAAAATACATAGTCTCAAAAAAATAATAAAAATAAAATACACAGTCTCATTTAGGTTCATTTTTGCCTTTATTTTGAAATTCTTGATTAGCAAACCAACTTGCTTTTATTATGGCATGTATTCATGGACTTCCATAGTTTTAAAACTTCAAAGCTATGTGTGACATCTTAGGCAAGACATAATCATGGGACTTATTTCTTAGTTCCCTTTGAAAAATCACATTTTATACTCCAGCGTCTTAAACGCAGATGTATACCACTGAATGGGTGCTTGCTGAATCATATCACAGTTTCCATTTGGTGATGCCAAACTGTTACTTTGTGAGGTCTCTGACATCAGTTGACAAGTGTACTTTCATCTCTCAGTTTTGCTACTGATTAACAAGTATTAACTGGACTACAAAGATAGAATTTCTTCAACTTCGGGAGCACTCCACTGGGGACAGCTCTCTAGAAGTTTATCCTGCCAGTACCTTCCTGAGAATAAGTAGGGGATTATTCATGCTGTTTCTTTTCATACTTTTGGCTAGAGGACTCCAATTATTACACTGCACATTTTTCAAATTGTGTCATTAGAAGTGTGTTAACTGTATTTTTTTGGTTTGGTTTGGTGAGTGTGTGTTTAATAGATGCTAGGAAATGCAGTGTTAATTCAAAATTATAGGGAGGTACACATCTTTGGAAGGGGAGGGATAGAGGAAAGAAAACAGAAGACAATGAGATTTCACAACTGAAACTTCTCTCTAGACTTAACAATAGGAAAAATAGTTATAAAAGGGATGTATTACAAGATAACTGAATGGCTAAACCAGCAGTCAGCAGACAAGAGCACTAAAGAAGGAAATTCTTCTGTCGTTTTAAATAAACTTTGGTTTTTTTCTGAGTTTTGTTTTAAAAGCGGTACATATTCGTTTAAATAAAATTTGGTAAATATAGAAAGTATCTTCTTACTTTCTTTAATGACCATAATCCAACTACTTAAAGACAGTCCCTGTGAGCATTTCAATGTGAAAAAAAAATTGATTTTTTAATGAGATACCATAAAAAAGAAATTTGGGGGGATTTGACCATGTGCTGTTTTATATTTTAGTTTCTTGCTGCTGATAGTCGCTCTCCTGGCTTCTTACTCAGTTCATCTCCTGCTTAGTTTGTGTATTCAGACAGGTGAGTAAAATGTTATGCTGATTCTTTTTTTTTTTTTTTTTTTTTTTTGGCGGTACGCGGGCCTCTCACTGTTGTGGCCTCTCCCGTTGCGGAGCACAGGCTCCGGACGCGCAGGCTCAGCGGCCATGGTTCACGGCCTAGCCGCTCCATGGCATTTGGGATCTTTGCGGACCGGGGCATGAACCCGTGTCCCCTGCATCGGCAGGCGGACTCTCAACCACTGTGCCACCAGGGAAGCGCTATGCTGGTTCATTTGATGAAGTAGCCCATTGTGATTATATCTATGTACATTGGATTGGCTGTCTCAAATCTCAAATTTCCAGCGGACATACATTATTATTAGGTAGGATGGTTGAAATGGAAAATTTCAAAAGGTCAGGATATGTAGACCCAATCCTACAGGGGAATATCCAAGGACAGAATGGGAGGAGGAAACCAGCATTCTTCCCTGCCTTTCTCTACAACATGTGACATAGTTTTCTGGGTTAGATTAGGGGAAGCACCTGAAAGGTGTTTAAAGGATCCAGACCTTGTGTTATGGGGCAGTAGACAGGTGTTCATGCTGGTCATCTTTCTCGTAGGGTGATCATCTCCTCGAGAACACCTTCCCAGATCTACTACTGCCATCTCTGCCCCCCTTATATGTGTATGAGTTTTTTCCATTTGAAACTTTATTATGCAGTTCAGTCATTTATTGAATAAGTTCTTTTAAGTTGCAATAAATAAAAGTGTATGAATTACGGAACTGCTTTCATAAGGTTTTTCTTTTGGCATTAACAAATACTCTATGTCCATCAGTCATGGTGTTTTATTTTTCTTTTTTTAACATCTGTATTGGAGTATAATTGCTTTACAATGGTGTGTTAGTTTCTGCTTTATAACAAAGTGAATCAGTTATACATATAAATATGTTCCCATATCTCTTCCCTCTTGCATCTCCCTCCCTCCGACCCTCCCTATCCCACCCCTCTAGGTGGTCACAAAGCACCGAGCTGATCCCCCTGTGCTATGCAGCTGCTTCCCACTAGTTATCTCTTTTACATTTGGTAGTGTATATATGTCCATGCCACTCGCTCACTTTGTAACAGCTTATCCTTCCCCCTCCCCATATCCTCAAGTCCATTCTCTAGTAGGTCTGTATCTTTATTCCCATCTTACCCCTAGGTTCTTCATGACATTTTTTTCTTTCTTAGATTCCATATATATGTGTTAGCATATGGTATTTGTCTTTCTCTTTCTGACTTACTTCACTCTGTATGACAGACTGTAGGTCCATCCACCTCACTACAAATAACTCAATTTTGTTTCTTTTTATGGCTGAGTAATATTCCATTGTATATATGTGCCACATCTTCTTTATCCATTCATCCAATGATGGACACTTAGGTTGCTTCCATCTCCTGGCTATTGTAAATAGAGCTGCAATGAACATTTTGGTACATGACACTTTTTGAATTATAGTTTTCTCAGGGTATATGCCCAGTAGTGGGATTGCTGGGTCATATGGTAGTTCTACTTGCAGTTTTTTAAGGAACCTCCATACTGTTCTCCATAGTGGCTGTACCAATTCACATTCCCAACAGCAGTGCAAGAGTGTTCCCTTTTCTCCACAGCCTCTCCAGCGTTTATTGTTTCTAGATTTTTTGATGATGGCCATTCTGACAGGTGTGAGATGATATCTCATTGTAGTTTTGATTTGCATTTGTCTAATGATTAATGATGTTGACCATTCTTTCATGTGTTTGTTGGCAATCTGTATATCTTCTTTGGAGAAATGTCTGTTTAGGTCTTCTGCCCATTTTTGGATTGGGTTGTTTATTTTTTTGTTACTGAGCTGCATGAGCTGCTTGTAAATTTTGGAGATTAATCCTTTGTAAGTTGCTTCATTTGCAAATATTTTCTCCCATTCTGAAGGTTGTCTTTTGGTCTTGTTTATGATTTCCTTTGTTGTGCAAAAGCTTTTAAGTTTAAGTTTCTTTAGGTTGCATTTGTTTATTTTTGTTTTTATTTCCATTTCTCTAGGAGGTGGGTCAAAAAGGATCTTGCTGTGATTTATGTCATAGAGTGTTCTGCCTATGTTTTCCTCTAAGAGTTTGATAGTTTCTGGCATTACATTTAGGTCTTTAATCCATTTTGAGCTTATTTTGGTGTATGGTGTTACGGAGTGTTCTAATCTCAAACTTTTACATGTACCTGTCCAGTTTTCCCAGCACCACTTATTGAAGAGGCTGTCCTTTCTCCACTGTATATTCCTGCCTCCTTTATCAAAGATAAGGTGACCATATGTGCACAGGTTTATCTCTGGGCTTTCTATACTATTCCATTGATCTATATTTCTGTTTTTGTGCCAGTACTATACTGTCTTGATTACTGTAGCTTTGTAGTGTAGTCTGAAGTCAGGGAGCCTGATTCCTCCAGCTCCGTTTTTCTTTCTCAGGATTGCTTTGGCTATTTGGGGTCTTTTGTGTTTCCATACAAATTGTGAAATTTTTTGTTCTAGTTCTGTGAAAAATGCCAGTGGTAGTTTGATAGGGATTGCATTGAATCCGTAGATTGCTTTGGGTAGTAGAGTCATTTTCACAATGTTGCTTCTTCCAATCCAAGAACATGGTATATCTCTCCATCTATTTGTATCATCTTTAATTTCTTTCATCACTGTCTTATAATTTTCTGTGCACCGGTCTTTTGTCTCCTTAGGTAGGTTTATTCCTAGATATTTTATTCTTTTTGTTGTAATGGTAAATGGGAGTGTTTTCTTAATTTCACTTTCAGATTTTTCATCATTAGTGTATAGGAATGCCAGAGATTTCTGTGCATTAATTTTGTATCCTGCTACTTTACCAAAATCATTGATGAGCTCTAGTAGTTTTCTGGTAGCATCTTTAGGATTCTCTATGTATAGTATCATGTCGTCTGCAAACAGTGACAGCTTTACTTCTTCTTTTCCGATTTGGATTCCTTTTATTTCCTTTTCTTCTCTGATTGCTGTGGCTACAACTTCCAAAACTATGTTGAATAAGAGTGGTGAGAGTGGGCAACCTTGTCTTGTTCCTGATCTTAGTGGAATTGGTTTCAGTTTTTCACCATTGAGGACTATGTTGGCTGTGGGTTTGTCATATATGGCCTTTATTATGTTGAGAAAAGATCTCTCTATACCTACTTTCTGCAGGGTTTTTATCATAAATGGGTGTTGAATTTTGTCGAAAGCTTTCTCTGCATCTATTGAGATGATCATGTGGTTTTTCTCCTTCAGTTTGTTAATATGGTGCATCACGTTGATTGATTTGCATATATTGAAGAATCCTTGCATTCCTGGAATAAACCCCACTTGATCATGGTGTATGATTCTTTTAATGTGCTTTTGGATTCTGTTTCCTAGTGTTGTGTTGAGGATTTTTGCATCTATGTTCATCAGTGATATTGGCCTGTAGTTTCCTTTCTTGGTGACATCTTTGTCTGGTTTTGGTATCAGGGTGATGGTGGCCTCATAGAATGAGTTTGGGAGTGTTCCTCTCTCTGCTATATTTTGAAAGAGTTTGAGAAGGATAGGTGTTAGCTCTTCTCTAAATGTTTGATAGAATTCACCTGTGAAGCCATCTGGTCCTGGGCTTTTGTTTGTTGGAAGATTTATAATCACAGTTTCTATTTCAGTGCTTGTGATTGGTCTGTTCATATTTTCTATTTCTTCCTGAATAAGTCTTGGCAGATTGTGCATTTCTAAGAATTTGTCCATTTCTTCCAGGTTGTCCATTTTATTGGCATGGAGTTGCTTGTAGTAATCTCTCATGATCTTTTGTATTTCTGCAGTGTCAGTTGTTACTTCTCCTTTTTCATTTCAAATTCTATTGATTTGAGTCTTCTCCCTTTTTTTCTTGATGAGTCTGGCTAATGGTTTATCTTTTTTTTTTTACCTTCTCAAAGAACCAGCTTTTAGTTTTATTGATCTTCACTATCGTTTCCTTCATTTCTTTTTCATTTATTTCTGATCTGATCTTTATGATTTCTTTCCTTCTGCTAACTTTGGGGTTTTTTTGTTCTTTTTTCTCTAATTGCTTTAGGTGCAAGGTTAGGGTGTTTATTCGAGATGTTTCCTGTTTCTTAATGTAGGATTGTATTGCTATAAACTTCCCTCTTAGAACTGCTTTTGCTGCATCCCATAGGTTTTGGGTCGTCGTGTCTCCATTGTCATTTGTTTCTAGGTATTTTTTGATTTCCTCTTTGATTTCTTCAGTGATCACTTCGTTATTAAGTAGTGTATTGTTTAGCCTCCATTGTTTGTATTTTTTACAGATCTTTTCCTGTAATTGATATCTAGTCTCATAGCGTTGTGGTCGGAAAAGATACTTGATACAATTTCAATTTTCTTAAATTTACCAAGGCTTGATTTGTGACCCAAGATATGATCTATCCTGGAGAATGTTCCATGAGCACTTGAGAAAAATGTGTATTCTGTTTTTTTTGCATGGGATGTCCTATAAATATCAATTAAGTCCATCTTGTTTAATGTATCATTTAACGCTTGTGTTTCCTTATTTATTTTCAGTTTGGATGATCTGTCCATTGGCAAAAGTGGGGTGTTAAAGTCCCCTACTATGAATGTGTTACTGTTGATTTCCCCTTTTATGGCTGTTAGTATTTGCCTTATGTATTGAGGTGCTCCTATGTTGGGTGCATAAATATTTACAATTGTTATATCTTCTTCTTGGATCGATCCCTTGATCATTATGTACTGTCCTTCTTTGTCTCTTGTAATAGTCTTTGTTTTAAAGTCTATTTTGTCTGAGACGAGAATTGTTACTCCAGCTTTCTTTTGATTTCCATTTGCATGGAGTATCTTTTGGATGGATACTCCATTTGCATGGAGTATCTTTTTCCAGGATGGAAAAAGATACTCCATGCAAATGGAAGTCAAAAGAAAGTCTGTATGTGTCCCTAGGTCTGAAGTGGGTCACTTGTAGACAGCATATATATGGGTCTTGTTTTTGTATCCATTCAGCCAG